CTTCTTCTTTCTTTCTTTCTTTCTTTCTTTCTTTCTTTCTTTCTTTCTTTCTTTCTTTCTTTCTTTCTTTCTTTCTTTCTTTCTTTCTTTCTTACATTTAAAAATAACTTTTTATATCAGTTTATTTTTTATTCCATTATTTATTACTTAATTATAGTATAAAAATATGACACGTACTTTTCCATATATTTGTAACAACTTACTTTTTTTTAAAAAAGAGAGGTTTTAACATGCCGTACTCAGTGTTGTTAAACGGCTCGTTTTGAACCGATTTTTAAAAAATGGCGAACTCGATATATGAGCCGGAAAAATATTGCTTAAGCCTCAAGATTTCGATAATATATTTCTAGACCTTTGTTCCTTCTACGAACAAAATCTTTAGGCTTTGCGTAATATTTTTCCTTTTCTGGATGAAGTATTGAGTTTGATTATTTTTTTTTATACATAATTGTCAGAGTTGTTACGGGATCTAGATACTATCTAGATACAAAAATGTGGTGTCCGTATCTGTAATCTAGATGGATTTTTGATTAAAATATCTGTATCTAGATACTATTTTAGACGATGTATCTGTATCTAGATCCATTTAAAAAGTATCTTTTAACAACTCTGATAATTGTTATCGATATCTTATCTTATTTTTCTTTTTTTTTACAATAAATTACAGCAAATCAAAAAAAACAATTTTATAAAGAAAAATTGTTATACAAAAATATATGTGGAAATGGTTTACAACAAAATCGTACCCGCACCGCACCAACGACATTTATAATACCTAGACTGACGATTCATGCGTTAAAAGTGTACAATGCCAATCAGCTGGAGACGCTGTCTTGGTTACACTAATCATCATTAAAATATTTTGAACGAGAGCCTAATTTATTCCTATATCCGATGCAAACTTTATTAAAGAATTACCGGATCATCGAGATAATAAGGAAAGCAAGTTATCAATTTAATAGTAGTTTTTTTAACATGAGAATAAATACCATATGTGTTACCAAAATGGCGGGTCCAGCTGATTTGTTTTTAACGACGCTTAAAAATGCATTTTAATGAAATGAATCGTCAGTCTAGGTATTATTATCAGAGTTGTTAAAGGATCTAGATATAAAAATGTGGTGTCTGTATTTGTATCTAGATAGATTTTTGATTAAAATATCTGTATCTAGATATTATCTTAGACGATGTATCTGTATCTAGATCCATTTAATATGTATCTTTTAACAAACTCTGAATATTATAAATCATTGACCCCCACACACACACACTGTAAAACGACTGCATAAAAAATATAATATTCATTAAAGTTAATTTTAAACCTGATACTATAATTACGTAGATAAATAAATAGTTATTTTGCTTAGTATATATTTTTTTATATATATTAATAGATAAATATTTAATTTATTTTATTTCTTTTGATTATCTATTTGCTTTTCTTCTTATTAATTTCTTCTTTTTTTCTAGAGGATAAAAAAGCTTGAAGATTTTAATTTTCTTCCCTTTTAATTTTAAGCAAAAAGTAATTAATATATATATATTTTTTGTTTAAAAAAAATAATTAAAAGAAATTAAAAGAAATTAAAAGAATTAGTTCAATTTTCAATCTATATATAAAAGTAATAAAAAAAATAAGTAACATAATTAGGTTTATTTATATATTAAGCTAAATATTTATATTATTAGGATTATAATTAACATGGAAAAAAATAAATAATATAAATAATTAATTGTATATGTAAGTAATTACAATTAATAAAAATGTCAAATTATTTGTTAATATAATGTGTTATTTTAAGTTTTTAAAGTTTCCAAAAAATAATTTAAAATTTTTTTTTTAAAAATTTGGGTAGTTTTACCAACCCAAACAAACCCATAAAAAAAATTGTGAAAAAAATTGATTAGAATAAGTAATAATAATAATCAGAGTTGTTAAAGGATCAAGATACAAGTATCTAGATCCTGTATCTAGATATAAAAATGTGGTTAGATAGATTTTTGAATAAAATATCTGTATCTAGATATTATTTTAGACGATGTATCTGTATCTAGATCCATTTAAAAAGTATCTTTTAACAACTCTGATAATAATGATATGTTATGTAATGTTTATTTTTCGATTTAAAGTTTAGAACAGAAACTGACAGCAACTGCGATACTTTATTATAAAAAAAATTCACATTTTTTAATAAGGCTTAATTATAATAATTATTTGTGGTTATAATAGCCACATTTTTTCTGCTATGTAACGATAAAAGTAACGAGTTATCAAATTGCTTTTTTTATGATATGGAATATTTATAAGTATTACATATATAAATATCTCTCTCAATAAATATATTTTTGAAACTCAATATTTAATCCAAAAAAATTTTATATTGCCTAAGCCTCGAAATTTCACTAATTAAATGTCTAGAGCCTTTGTGCCGTCTATAAGCAAAATCTTCAGGCTTGCGTAATACTATTCTGGATAAAATATTGAGGAGCCGTTTAACGACACTACTTTGAAATTGAACTTATTTTAAAGACAACATTATTAGATTTGTCAGTTTAAGGTTCAGAATTGCAAAAAAAATTACTGTTTATTAAAATATGAATGTCGCATTTACACCAAACTCACCCGTGGTACGTTGGCAGTTCGAGGAAGCTTGTTCTTGGGTGAAAAACTAGATCGCGCCATTTGAACATCAATGAAGAAAAATAGTGTATTTATCAAAGTTCCAAATAAAAATATATATGGTCTAAATTTTTAATCAAAAAACTAAATGCGTGATATTTTTGTTTTATCAGTGCAAACAATTATTTCTTTAAATCTAATTTGAATTTTAATTAAAATTCCTTTGATTAAAAATTTTGTTAAATCGCAAAAATTTATTTTGTATTTAAAATATAAAAAATAAATATAAATAGTATAAATTTGAAAAATGTAATTTGTAGCTATGATTAGATACTTTTTAAAGGGGGTTAACTTGTGATTGTAACTTTTTATCAAAACTGACAATAATGTTTTTAATCTGATAATTATAAGTGGAAATGATTATAAGGAAATATTGCTTAATATTCGCAATAATTAATATGGTCACGATTTTGATTTGTCCACGCAATGTCATTAGTAACGATAACCAGTTACTTTTCTAGGATGTAACTTGTAACTGTAACTTTTTAGAGAGACTGATAATAATGTTTTTAATTGATAAATTATAAGATGAAATAGTTATTAATATAAAAGGTAAAATAAATAAAAGGTTGCTTAAAATTAATATAAGCAATAATATAAGTTTACGATTGATTCAAAAAAAAAATATAATTTTAAAATTGGAATTCTTTTGTTCCTAAAGAATTTTACTCTGGAATCACGAAACAAAATATAATATTAAAAAAAATTAAAAAAATTAGTTCATTTAGGAATAATTAAAATATAATAATAATTTATGAAATAACATTTTAAAAGTATATAAAATATAAATCAAAATTGGGTTGAATTGAAGTTAATTACTTTACTTTTACTCAAGAATCAGCTTCTTCTCTCTTCTCTTTCTCTTCTCTTCTCTCTCTCTTCTCTTCTCTTCTCTTCTCTCTCTCTTCTCTTCCTCTCTCTCTTCTCTTCTCTTCTCTTCTCTTCTCTATGATATTAGCGCTTATAAGGCCAATAAGGTGGTTCTCAAATAGATATCTTTCAACTAAAATATAAATTAAACTAAAATTTCACTTCATTTTTATTTTAAACAAATATTAAATTTTGACGTTTTAACATTTTAGAATTTTTATTTTAAAAAATATAAATAAATAATTAATACAATATTTAGACATTTATTACATTTTGATATAATATAATTCTTGGTATCATTTAAAACAATATTACAATATTCCTCTAAGATTTAACCAAAAAAAATATTCATTGAAGATTTTTTTTTTTTGCTGCTAAATTATTCGAGTAAAAATAATCTTGAAGATCTAACAAAATCACTAAACATTTAAATTATAAAAAGATTTTTCATCCTTTTTAAGAGCATTTTAAAACCGTGAAAAAAAAACAACACAGTTTGTTTTTAATAATCTTTTGATCATCTGAAAGAGAGGCCTTTTAAATTATATTATTTTTGAAAAGAGGGGTTCAGAGATTCAGTCTAGAATTACTAACAGATTTCTTTTTAGTTTATTTTTGATACTTTTCAAATATAAACTATCCGCTCAGAAAATCATATAAACCCCCCAATTTTCTTCAAACTAAATCCAATATGGTCAGAGTCCCACAAGCCCGAACCGGTATCCGGCCCGAACATACCGGCCCGAACCGGTATCCGGCCCGAACCGGTATCCGGCCCTAAAAGAACGAATAAACCCGAGTCGGGTTTAACCCGAGTAAACAATCCGGGCCGGGCGTTAATAAAATTTGCTATAAGATCAAATATTAGAAACGGCAGAATTTTTTTTTATTTAATTTAAAATTTTATTTCGTATTTTTTTATTTTTACCTGTCTGTCTATTAGTTGGTTATTTTAAAAATATATAATAAATATTATTTGTACCTTATATTTTAAATACAAAAAAATACAAAAATATAATAATTAAAAAATAACAATATTATTTATTTATTTATTAAATATATTTTATTATAAAAATTAATGGATCAATTTTTTGTAATACATATACATACATAATAGAAAATTAAATGTACCTATAAAATTAAATATATATATTTAAAAATAATATTATTTTTAAAAAAATATAGTATATATTGTCCATTAGTATAATATAATATAAATAAAAGGGAGTTTTATTGGTTTTATTATATTTATTTTTTTATAAAATATAAAAAACTTGAAATATATACCTTTTGTCATATTTTTTTTAAAATAAAACAAATAAAAAACAATTGGACGTTTTTTAAAAAAAAATTATATTACAAAATAAATTGATTTATTAAACGAATAATTAAAAAATCAATACGCTAAACGCGCAAGGAGTACAAAAATATTTAAAACGATTTTATTGGATTCATTTCCGATACTTCTAAATCGAACAATTATCATTCATTATTCGGATAGATTAGAATCCCTTACTATAATCCCTTCATTCTCATTAATAAACACGCTATCGAGGTATTATATCAATATTATACTAAATAAATATGTAAATTTGTATTGTTTAAAAAACATTAAAAATACTAAAATTCCAAAGATAATAACTTACAATTTTAAGGCTGATATAAAAATAAAGACATGTCCTAAATATAATTCTTAGAAAATTTTAAAACTTTTCGAAATTTTTTTTAAAATAAGGTTTTGGACATAGCAAATAGCATAAGCCTCATTACAATTTTTTTTTTTTTTACAATTGAGAAATAAGGAAGGGAAAGAAATGTATTTTCTAAGCCAAAGAAGAGTATATAATAAATTTGATTCAGAGACCTGTAAAAGTCGGTCTCAGTCATCAAAAGAAAGAAAGAAAGAAAGAAAGAAAGAAAGAAGAGAAGAGAAGAGAAGAGAACATAACATACAACCGCTCAGACCTGTAAGAATCAGTCTCGGTCAGCACACATCATACAACCGCTCAGACCTGTAAAAAATCTAAATAAATACGCGGGATGGAGAAAAATTAAATTATAAAATAGTGTTTAATGCGTCCCTAAGAAATGAATAATTTCAAAAAAATTTTTGAAGGGTCTTTATGAGATAAAAAAAATTAATAATCTGGTTAATACGATTTTTGAAGGATTTGTCACCACGCCTACCTCAATCTATGGGGAAATAATGTGAGATAAAGGGTGTCAATCTTAACTAGTGTTGTTATAAAAACGATTTTTAATAACGGCCCGATTTGAGAACGATAATCTTTAACATATACGCAGGTTATCTCGCGAATGTCTTATTATAACCCATTTGACAAGATAATAATTCATGTTTAATATTACATACGATTACATATATATATAGAAATGAATAAAAAATGGTATATAATTAATTAAATTTAGTTAGAGGGCTTAAATCAATATTAAGATTATTGTAATAACTTCCAAATGTATTATTTTTTAGGATGGTATTGTTATGTTTTTTATTTTTAACACATACTTATTATAAATGCCTTTGAATTACCATAAATTTTACATTTTATTTTTTTGACTAAACGTGAATGATGGCGAAATCTTTATAAAATAAAGTTACTTGAGGTCTTAGATTTGCTCATATTCCGCAAAATGAATATAAACATCATCGGCAAAGGTTTTTAAAAGTTATCTCGCGGAATACAATAACGGAGGCGTAACGCAATAATTTTGGGCGTTGGACCCCTATCCATAATTTGTCGGCGTATCCAGGATTTTATTTCTGGTTTAAATACGCCAACGGACCCTCTATCCATCGTTATGCGGCGAATGTGTTTATCCGTTATCGCCTTTGGACAGTTATTACTGTTTTCTTAAAGTGAGAAACCTTCATATACCCTCAAAATGTCAGTTAGAGCGTGCATAGGGGAACTGCAAATTTTAGAATACTCCCCCCCCCCCCCTTCCCCCACTTAAAGAATTTCCAATTTTTTTTTATAGATATAAATGAGCCAACCCACTCATTCCCTCATTTAAAAAAAAGAGAGGGACACTTATATTCTCTCGAATAAGGTTATATTGACATTTAACTGAAAATGGGCATGACTGGCATTAAAAATTTTTTTTACAACATATGGGAAATGGAATATATAAGAGAATATCTATGTGATGTATCATTAATTTTAGTAGGTCTTACAAATCATAAAAGAATTAAATCAATCAAAAGTTAACATTAATATTTCTAAGTTTTATAGGGTATGGTGAAGTTAACATAAGTCTTAAAAACGAATTTAGTTTCAGATTTTTTTTAAAAAAAGTCATATGTTCACAAGAACCAATAATTCCTAGTAAAGATAATAAATTTTATTTTAAAAAAATTAGGAAAAAATAAAAAGAAAAGGAGATTGAAAAATTAAACAGAAGAATTGTTAAAAATAATATTAATTTTAAAAAAGAATTTTTTAAAAATTTTTTATAATACAAAGGCATCAACTTATTTCACTTTCTGTTTTAAGCTTAGATTTTTCGATTTTCAAAATTAAGGAATTAATGATAAATGGAAAAGTTTTGTTTTATATTAAATGATTTATATAAGAAGAAGAATATTAAAAAAAAATCCAATATATGTAGTACGTAATTAAAAATATATGTTTTTTTTGATTATTAGGTTATAAAAGAAATTCTTAAACGAATTCTTATTCTTTGTGCAAATCGATTTATTTAAAAATTTTAAAAAAACAAAAAAAACAGTTTTTTATATTGGTTTAATAATCGAGTTTTTGAATTCACGGAATGTTTTACAGATATCTTAGACTTTTAGGGTGATTAGAAATTTAGTTTCTTTTTAAAAAAAAATATATATTACAGCGTAGTGTTTGTTAAAACGGCTTCGTTTTCTAGACATTTCGTGAGATTTCGCTAATAGATGTCTAGATTCTTCTATGAACAAAATCTACAGAACTTTTGCATAATATTTTTCTGGATAAAGTGTTGAGTTACGCCGTTTAACAATACTATTACAGTTGTTGTGCAGATTTAATTTAAAAACAGTTCCATATTTTTTTTTTAAAATTTACTTTTGTAAATAAAATTATTTATTAACTTGTACAAAAAAAATTGATAAAGAATATATCGGCCATAGATTAACTCCCCAAGTTATCACTATGACAAATTCACCAAAACCCCACCCCCCTTTATTTTAGGGGCGATGTAGCATACTCCTCAAATTACCTTAGCGAGGAATGGATACACCCCATAAGATATACCCCTTATATCATTTTGATCCACTTTCCTCCTTGTTTAACTTTGGTTTACTGTTGTTAAGCGGCTCGTTTTGAGCCGTTTTTTAAAAATGGCTAACTCAATACTTGATCCAGAAAAAATATTACCCAATTTGCTCATAGAAGGAACAGAGGTCTAGGACATGTATTATCGAAATCTTGAGGCTTAGGCAGTATTTTTCTGGCGAAAATATTGAGTTTTAAGAACACTTACTTTGGTTATTGGAGTTATGTTTTTAACGGAGTTGTTAAAGGATCTAGATCCTCTGTATCTAGATTTAAAAATGTGGTATCTGTATCTAGATAGATTTTTGATTAAAATATTTGTATCTAGATATTATTTTAGACGATGTATCTGTATCTAGATCCATTTAAAAAGTATCTTTAACAACTTTGGTTTTTAAGTCAAATAATAGTATATTTTCAAAAATATAAATTAATAAATTTGGGGAAAAAAAAAATGTTTTAAAATTATATCTGAACGAACACTGTACAATAATTAATTTTTAAATAACTGTGTGTTTTGTTTAAGCAAGGATATTGGCAAAATTTAATTTCAAAAATATCAAATGCATATAAAGAAACGCGGAGAAAGGGGCCTGGAGGGAGCGGGAGAGAGTAACCAATAATTTTTTTTACTTATGGTATCAACGAGTAGAGGAGAAATTCTTTCCTAAAAATGATGCGGAAATTACTTTCTCTCACAAACTCGGACATAGTTTAATTTTAAAATATCCATTATGGAATATAATATTTTATATAAATTTTTTTTTTTTTACAAATAAGATTAAAAATTTTGATTTAGAAATATTTAAGAAATATGCATACCACATGAATTAAGTATTGTGTTAGCCAGGACCAGTCTTAAGGGGCTGATTTGGACCCACCCTTTCCAAACTCTTACAAATAATAATAATATACAATAGAAATTTTTTTTAGATAAATTGTTGTATATAAAAGAATGACTAATTTATAAAATATTTCGCTCATATTTTTTTTAATTAAAATTCTCACAGCGTATTTTTTTGTAACTCTGCTAAATACCATCCGTGGGGTTGACAGCTGTCAGAATAGCCAGATCTATCCTTTTAAATCAATCGTTTCCAAAACAAAGTTTTGTTTTTCATGATAATATTTTTTTTTCGTTAATTTTGACTTTTTACGTTCAATTTTTTTCCTACGTAACCGAAATATAACATTACAAATCAAAACATATTATAAAAAAAGTCACATTTTCGACTCTTATAAAAAATATATATATAAATCAATTAATTAAAGAAGATAGTCTTACCTATTGTTTTACCTGTAATTTTACATGTAATTTTACCTTACATTGTAGGTATAATAATAATAAATAATAATATTATTTAGACGCGTTACAAATGGGTTATTTTTATTTTTTGTGAGGTCGTAAACAAATAAAGTTTATAAAATTATTATTTACTATTACAATAAATAGCAAATGAACAATTTAATTTTTATAGTAAAACCAGGTGGTAAAAAATAAATAATATAAATAAAAATATTACTTTTTAAAAAAAAATAATATAAGGTAAGGTAAGGGTTGGTAGGTAAGAAAGAATCATAAAATATAATGTAATTAAGTTGTCTTTCTTTAAGAAATAAAAAATATAAAGTAATATATATATATATACCTCCGGAATTAAGATATTATTTTAAACAATTAATAATGAAGGCAATTAAATTTAAATTCGATTAATTTTCTGAGGAAAAAAAACAAAAATAAAAAACAAATTATGATATAAAAAACAATCTAGATTTTTTTCAATTATATATTATATACAAATTGTCTAACTAAGATTTAAAAAATTTTTTTTTTTGTAATGTTTTTTTAATTATTACTTATTATCTTTTTTTTACATATGTTCCGCGTGGAGTTGCGGGAAACTTCCCCCTATCCCCCCCCCAAAAAATAACGAATTTAATAAATCTTTTTTAGAATAGATAATAATCAACTATGCGCGTGCGCAGGAATTCGCTGCCAGGTGGGGTGTGGGTGAGTGTGAGGATAATTAAATTTATTTATATTAAAAATTTTTTTATTCTAGGAGTCATTTAAAGAATAACTTAAGTTTTCAGTATCCAATAAGGGGGGGGGGGAGGAGGGGGCAAAGAGATTTATTCTAGAGTATTCTTAGACTGATTCTATATTGATTATTGGAACGATGGACTTTGCCTTGCTGCGAGTCGAGGTAGATAATTACTAAATTCGCAGAGCTCTGTAACTATATTTGCCCTGATTTACTTAAGTTTCCAA